GATATCCTACTTGTGTGATGCACCTGCATGCTTACCTTTCTTTTGAAATATGAGCCAACAGATTTTCTAGAGATAACAAGGAGACAAAATTTTTGATAGTCGAAGTGAGCCAAAGAGAAATGATTGTGGTAGAGTCTGGCTTTGGGTTGGAAGGAACAGGGTCATGTCCACACATGGGTCTACAAACTTGCTGCTGCCTCTAAACGTGTTGGTTGGGTTGGAAACAGGACCAGAACAGGTGTGGGATGGCATCTCCCCACCGAAACTGCTGCCACACTTAAGCGTGTTCTACAGAATCATACCAAACACACAAGGCAAGTGTTCTATAGAATTGCTACCAAATGTGCAGGCTGAGTGTTCTACAGTGTTGTCACCAAATGCACAGAGCGAGTGTTCTACAGTATTGTCACCAAATGCACAGAGCAAGTGTCCTACAGTATTGTCACCAAATGTGCAGGCTGAGTGTTCTACAGTATTGTCACCAAATGCACAGAGCGAGTGTCCTACAGTATTGTCACCAAATGTGCAGGCTGGGTGTTCTACAGTATTGTCACCAAATGCACAGAGCGAGTGTTCTACAGTATTGTCACCAAATGCACAGAGTGAGTGTTCTACGGTATTGTCACCAAATGCACAGAGTTCTGCAGCGCTGCTGCAAAACTGCACAGGATGAGAGCAGATGCGCAGAATTGCTTATTTCTGAAGACTTAGACACTTGTTAGAGTTTCTAACCCATGAGGGCACCTGTAACAACATGCCCCAGACAGGCCTCTAACCACGGCGCTTTGTTTTCAGACTGTGCTGACGGCAGCTCGAGATGCTGACCGGGATGTTTTCTGGTGAGGGTTCTTCTGGGCTCATGAATGACTGCTTTCCTGCTCTGTCCTCACAGGAAAAAAGAGACAGGCTGGGCCTCTGGTGTCAATTCTCAGTGTGGCACTTTACGTCTAAACCTAGTTGGTTTCTAAACTCCATCACCAACACCTGGCAATCAACACCTCAAGAGGTAAATTTTGTCAGGGCACAGTTCAATCCCCAGCGGCTCTTAGCTAAAATCAGGTATTGTTTGTTTTATCTTCAAAAATAAGTGACTTGTCAGAAATTCATTCTCTAGACTATGAAACAGCAGACTTCTTCTCTAAAAGGAACTTATGGAAGGAACACGCTAAGCGTCACGAACAATATGGATTCCATTGGGACAACTCAATTCTAACAATATACCACAGAAGAAGTAAAGATAATATGTAAACAAATGGGTATGGCTGTGTTTCAATAAGACATTGTTTACAAAACCGGATAGGGACCCAGATCTGGCCCGTGAACTACTTTGCAGACACTTTTCTGACCACTAGCCAGAGGGCTCAGAGCATTATTATGAATTTTGACCACAGCCATTTGACGTGACCAGCAAAAGCCCTGCCACTACTCTTAAGCGAGGCCAGTGGCGCACCCTGCCTTTCTCTGAGGTTCAACACTCAGTCACATTTGCTGAGGTCCTAAGCATTTTGTACACGGACCGCTTCATGGCTTACAGTTGGAATTTCACTGATTATTCAATCCCGAGTGGTCAGCCCTAAACACATTTGCATGAGCAACGCCAAATAGACTCAGTAGGGTGTCTCTGATAATTAAAGGAGAAGAAGCCATGAATCTGAGGCAGAGTGGGGGGTGGGGGACAGAAATGTTTGGTGGGGGGATGGGGTGGAAATGGTGAAACCCTAAATGTTTAAATATTTAAATTTTAAAAACTGATAACTAATCTTAAAAAGAAGCAAGAATGTGGCCATATGATTTGGGAAAGGATATTTCATACCACAATCATGCATTTTCATTTTTTTGTCCTTTCGTGCTTTTAGATTGGCCCAGAAGATATGAGACATTGTTGTGGCATTTTCCCGTGTTTTAGGGGGTTCCTCTCACTCTTATTCCCAGCCACTTAAGGAAGCCATGTCTAAGCGGACATGATGGCTAATGCCTACAGTCTTAGTACTTCAGAGGCTAAGCCAGGAGGTTCACCATGAGTTCAAGGCCAGCCTGGGCTATAAAGTGAGACACCCCCGCCCCCAATAAAATAAACAACACAATGACTTAAAAAAAAATCCCCTTAGCAGGTGTATCAAAGATAGCTGATAGGAGCAGTCCTATGGTTGTGCGTCAAGCAAGGCACTATGGGGAGCGGAAGTGAGGCCGGTGGTCAGGTTCCTAGTGTCCTGACCCCACAGAACAGAGTACCCGCCCTGAACCAGGGCTCCATGTAGAAAGGCGGCTGCCAGCTGCCCTGACAAGGTGCACCGCCACAAACTTGCCCTGCTAGTGGCTGTGATTGCCAGGAGTGTGCAGGGGCCTAGAGCTATGAAAGGAAGGGACCACCAGAGGCCTTGGCAGGGGTCCGAGATAGGTGGCTGAGCAAAGTCTGAGTGCTGGAAGCTGAAGGAAGGAGTGTCCCCTCATTCCAATGTGACCGTTCCAGTCTTAGGCCCAACCCTGCCTCCTAGCAGGAGGTGCAGATAGCAAGTGGCCAGGGCTTATCTAGGTGGGGTACGGGTCCCATGAGTCCCTCCCTGACCCAGGTTGGGCCAGTGACAGGCCCAGACTTGGGGAGACTCTGGGCAGGCAACTGTAACTGCTGTGAGATCCCACCTGCCACGGCTGCCCACGTCACTCTTTCTCGGCCCTTCTTTCATATTCTTTCTGCCTCAACCCTTTTAATCAGAGACTTTTAATTTTTTTTAGACTCAAAAGAGAAGGTAACGAGTTTAGTACCTTTAATACCTTGCCCACTGCAAACGCTGAGCCTCACAGCCAAGAGGGGTCAGCCATAGTTAGCTGTCCAAGCTCTTCGGGGGCACCTGCAGGACAGGTGACTGTCATACCTGGGGCTGCATTTAACCTGTAACTGTTGGACACTTATCTCATTGAGATTCTAGTTACTGTTTGAGGCACCAAAGGCTCAGTGAAACTGGCCCCGAACCACAGGTCCTGCTGTTTGATCGTTTATGAGCTACACGGGATCCAGTCTGAAGGCTCCATAACCAGACACTTGTGACAATTCTGTCCTGGGTGACCAGGTACTGGGCACAGACGCTGATGCTCCTGCCTGTAATGGCTCTAAATTCTATCTCACATCCTCACGGATTCCCACAGTGTGAGGAAAGGGTGGACCAGGAAAGAAAGGATTCTTTCTGCGCATAGTTCTGTGGTGAAAGCCACACTGTATGTTGCCACAGGCGCTACCTCCTACCTTAAACAAACCTAGAGGGCAGACGGTGATCTTTTTCTTTGACCAGCTAGAAAATTGTGGCTGTTTACTTAACTTGTCTTACATATTTATTTTTTGGTTTTTCCAAAGTAGCTCTGACTGTCCTGAAACTCACTCTGTAGACCTGGCTGGCCTCAAACTCACAGAGATCTACCTGCCTCTGCCTCTCGAGTGTTGGGATGAAAGGCGTGCGCCACCACCTTTGAAATAGAAACAAAGCTAAAATTTTCTTTTGTCCTATACTCTCCCTCATCCTGAAAATTCACGTCCACAAGAACCTGTGAATGTCAGCCTTACGTGGGAAACAAGTTGGGGCAGATGTACTCAAGGTCATACATAAGAGTCATTTAGGAGTGCCCCTAAGTCTAATCTGATGGGTGGAATCCTTATGAGACAGAGAAATTAAGACGCAGAGAAGAGGTAGCTGCCTGGAGACAGAGACTGGAGTTATGTTGCCACAGACCACACACTCCTGGGGCCACCAGAAACTGAAAGAGGGAAGCATTCTCCCCTCGCATCTCCAGAGACAGCATTATACACCAGCCTCTTGGTTTTCACCTTCCTACCCTGTATAACGACAGAGCAAATTGCTACTGTTTTAAATCACTCAGTTTATGGTGCGATGCGGTTGGTCCGCATTATTTGCTATTTTTACTACTGGCTAAAAGAGGGGAACCTAAACTCAGCCGTGTCTGTGAGGCATTTTCTTGGTTGAGGCCTGATGAGCGAGGGCCCAGCTCACTGTAGGTGGTGTCCCTGCGGGCAGACGATCCTGGGTTGCATAAGAAAGCAGCCTGAGCAAAAAGACAGCAGCACTCCTGTGTTGTTAGGGTGTGTAAACCAAATAAACCCCGCCTTTCCCAAGCTGTTAGGTAAAATAAACGAGGCTGGGTGCTATGCGCTTGTTTCAGCTCTCGTGAACACATAAGCTCACTACAACCCAGGCTCTTGTTTTTCTGATTTCTGTTGGTAATTCTGCTGTTTAAAATGCCCAAGTGCACTGTCGAAGAGCTCTCTAACGTCCCAGAGAACAAGAAAGCTGCCACATGCTGACTTACAGAAAATTTTCATTTTATTGTCTTTTTTCAGACATAATGTTATGACACAATTTGTCGTGAGGTTAGTGGGTTTCTTTAAATATCTTATTTTAATTATGTGTATATGTGTATCCCTGTGTGGCTACATGCATGTGAGCTCATTGCAATAGGATGCCAAAAGAGGGTGTTAGACCCTCCAGAGCCAGAGCTGTGGCCCCGATGTGGATGCTGGCATTAGGATTCTAGAGCTGGAATGATAAGCTCCCAATGTAGGTGTAGCACTAGGTTCCTTGGCAAGAACACTATACACTCTTAATACTGAAACAATGTCGATGAATTGTGTATGTGTGTGTGTGTCTGTGTGTGTGTTTGTGTATGTGTCATGTGTGTGTCTCTGTGTGTGCATGTGCGTGTGTCTGTGTATGTATCAGAATGTGTGTGTGTGTCTGTGTGTCTGTGTGTGTGGTCTGTGTGTGTTTAAACAGAAACTCACATAAACATTACACATTGGTTGCTTCTCAGAAATTGTGACAATGACACAGAAGCTGAGCCCCATATTTCCCCTAGGGGTCAAATGTCTGTATTTACTACTTCCTTGTCTGCAGGAACTTCATAGCAGAACAACCGGAAGTGAGGGAAATCAACTGTGGTGTTTGCTTCTTATAACAGCCTTAGAAAACCCAAACAAGCCTTTCTGGACTTACCCAGGACCTTGCAGGCTTCTTGAATGAGCTTAATGGTGATGCTGTCGTCGTACACGGTGTAGGTCATGAAGGCGTCTTGCACTTCTGCAGAAGCCCTGAAAGATGCAGCAAGTGCAGTTGAGCACTGGTCTGCGGGAGCTGAGTCCCAGGACAGTCGCTGACCCAGCAATGTCTGGTACAGCAAGGATTGCCTTTTGGGCCCTAAGCACTGTGACTGTGTTGACTCCTGCCGAGCGCATCCTCTGGACTCCAGTTTGAGCCTGAATAGGCTCAGCTTAGATGAAGATGGCTAGTCTACCCACCGCCACCCCTGCTGGACTCCTTGAGGGTGGCTATGGTCATTTGCCCTTTATTTCTGGATCCCAGAAAATGGCACTGGTCCTGACACGCACATTCTGAGGATCCTCAAACAGACAAGGGGTACTTGGGTCTGCAGCTGAGTCTCTGGATTCCCTACAGGATTCCTGGTTTGGGTCCAAGGGATTCTAAGAATTATAACGTGCAGCTGGAATAGATGAGGAGGCTGGGGCCGATGTGGAGTTGCTGCAAACCCTCACTACTGCTATGAAAATGGGGTATTCTCCACTATGTTGGAGTGGCCTCTCCACCCAGGCCACCAGGTGCCTTGTGAACCAAAAACTAACAGGCCGAACCCTAATTTAGACTTGATACATGGCCACAACCTGAGATGAAGGCTCGAAGGGAGGCGATGTAAACCCCAGGCCCTTACAGAGTATGCTCTGTGCGGCCGAGGCTGTCCTCACCGCACCTCCACTTCACCGTCCAGGTCACACAGTCCCTTCCTTCCTGCAGGCTGAGCTGACAATACTGTAGGGTCAGATGTTTTCTGGTTTGTATACATGCTACACGTTGCTGGGGTGGCAGACATGCTAACAGCTAGGACTTCTGGCCTCATTCCGGGTCTCTAACGCTGCATGCAGCAGTCACCACAGCCACGGCACACTGGGACACATAATCTGTCAAAATCCTTTCCGGACACAGTGTGCTGGCCAATAGTTTATTCAAAAAATAAACAAATAGACATTTTAAATGAGATGACCAAACTTCTGCTAAGAAGGGGGTAAGAAAAACGACAGTGGGAGACACCTCAGAGAGACCAGGACTTGAGAGAGCAAGTGGAAAGAGACGTGAAGGGGGCGCTCAACATGTGATGTCAGTGCCAGACACACAAGCAGGGGCTCAGCTCCACACCTCCACACATGCAGGGGCTCACCTACAGACCTCCACACATGCAGGGCCTCACCTCCACACATGCAAAGACTCATCTACACACACACACACACATACACACACACACACACACACATGCATGCATGGTCTCACCTCCACACTCAAAGGCCATTGACTAGTTGATATTTTACTGGAACACCCAGGGTTCCTCATTAGTGAATAACACCTAGTGTTATCCAAACTATCTATGCAGCAAGCCAGGCCTGGCTGCCTGGCTCAGAATAACTTGAGGAGAAAAACAAACACACACACACACAAAAAAAAAAAATAAAAATAAAACAAAAAAACGCAGGCAGGCTCTGAGTTACCTTTTAACCACTTGTCTCTTGTTTCTCAAAGCTGAGAAACTGCAGCTCCCCTATACTTTCTAGATTCAACACAGAAAGGAAACGGGTGACCAATGACTGATCTCACATTATTCAGCTGATGTCATAGTTTGTTAGAGTCCAGGGTGAGTTATAAAGGTCCCAGGAGAAATGAGAAGTTCTTCAAGGCAAGTCTTGGGCCACAGAAATGGGATGGACTTAAGCACTGGGAAGCCGTTCTTTCCAGAACCCCTTACAGTAGTAAGGTGTGCCTACAGCTGTACTGGGGACAAGGAGATGAGGAAAACTGGAGTGTATATCCCATCCTGACCATCTGTCCCTCTAGTTCGTCCCTCCCCTGTAGTGGCATTTCATTTGTATTTTAATAAATAAAGCTTTCCTGAAGATCAGAAAAGTAAAACAGCGACACTGGCCAGCCTTGCAGACCAGGCAGTGGTGACACACATCTTTAATCGCAGTAGCCACACTGGTTTGCCATAGAAACCAGATGGTAGTGGTGTACACCTTTAGTCTCAGAACTAGAGAGGATTATAAAATGGGGGGAGACAGCTCTCAGTCTCAGTCTCATTCTGAGGTTCCCTGGAGGCAGGATCGCTATTTTCGAACTGAGGTTGAGGTAAGAGCCAGTGGCTGGCTGCTTTGCTTTTCTGGTCTTCAGGATGAACCCCAATATCTGTCTCTGGGTTTTTATTAACTGTGCTACACTCCCCAGTTCGTCTAGTGTCCTTGGCAGCATCCAGACTGAGCTAGACATTTTTGGCCCTCCCTCCCTCCCACACTCCCCAGTCAACCCCCTGCTGCTTGGACCCCTCTAGCTGCTCACAATCCCTTCCCTGCCTTCCACAGGCTCCCTCCACCAGAAGGGTGCCCACTCCCTCTAACCTGGCCAGCTTACTTCCTCTTTACTCTGGTCTTTCTAAGAACCACGGCCTCTGGTTATTGTGAGTCTCATGAATGTTCATGTATCCACCCCCTCCACGGTCCCCAGCGCCTGCAGCACCTGCCTGAGCATAGACAAGTCCTGACACCTATGAATGACTCTCTGATGCTTCTTACATTCCCAAGTCTAAAGACCAGGCTGTGTCCCTTGATTTCATATCTCCAATATCTGACACTGTCCCTGACACGCAAATAAAAACTGATAAATACTTAAAAGAAAATTTAGGATTTAGGATTTGTGTGTGTGTGTGTGTGTGTGTGTGTGAGAGAGAGAGAGAGAGAGAGAGAGAGAGAATCTTATAACTTAGCATGGCCTCAAACTCAAGAGAAAGCTGAGCATGACTTTGAACTTCTGACCCTCCTGTCTCTACCTCCTGAGCAGAAGGATTTTAAGCATGTGCCACCCTGCCTAGTTTATGTGGTGTTAGGTATGGATCCACATAACCATGCTAGGGCTCTACCCACTGAACTACAGGGCCATCTCAGTCTCAGAAGTTTTGATAAAAGAAATCAACAGAGGCTCTTATCCTCGCTGCGAGAGTCAGGAAGAGATCCGTATTTTGGCTAGTGTTCCACCACTGGGCTTGTCGCCTACCCCCTTTTGTTGTTTTTGTTTTGAGGCAGGGCCCCACTAAGCTGCCCATCCTGACGTTGAACTCCATCTCTAGTCCCATAGACCTTGAACTTGCTGCTGTTCCATCCCACACCAGCCACTTTTATAAAGGAAAGTCTCTAGTCAAGTAAGCTTCAGACCTCAAAATGCCTGTTTCTCATCCTGCTAAATTCGCCCCCAATATTGTTGACAGAGGTTTCTGTCCCACCCGGTCTTGCAGCCATTCAGTCCCAAAGAAACACACAGAAGTTTACATTAATTATAAACAGGTTGGCCTATTATCTCAGGCTTCTTATTAACTCTTATACTTAAAAGTTCATGCTGAGAAAGGCTCGGTGCCACACTGGGAGCCGGATCACCCAGTGTATTTGCCTACCAGCTAATCAAGACTTTCTATTGATTTCAACCTGTGTCTGAGCATCTCCTCTGGTGAATACCCCACCACCAGGGCCATTTATCCTCTTCACTTGTAAGTGGGAGTGAAGAGGCCCAGGGGTTAGTAACCTGTGCTCACTGGAAAGAAATGTCAACGCCTTCCTATCGTCTACACATATTGATGCTCTGGTCCCTAAAACCCTTCTCTCAGACAGCACATGTGTGATACTCCAGGCGTGGTGGTTGCTTCCCACCAAGCTCAGCTTACCTCAGATCTTTTACATTGACTGTTCCCTCTTTCTGGAGCACACACACTTCCCTAACCCAGGTTGGCTCTTTCCTTCCAGTTCATAGATTCCTGTTGTCTGAGTTTTCTGCCCTGCCTGGTCCCCGCAGTCATTAAGTCCCCCCAAAAAAATCACACAGAGGTATACATTAACTATAAACTGATTGGTCTAGTATCTCAGACTTCTTATTAACTCTTACAACTTATATTAGCCCATTATTCTTATCTGTGTTAGCCACATGGCTCAGTAACTTTTTCAGTGGGGCAGTCATATCTTGCTTCTTCTGTGGTCTCGTCAGGACTGCAGAGGAATGGGCTTCCTTCTTCCCCAAATTATCCTGTTCTCTTTGACCTGCCCCTACTTCCTGTCTGGTTGTCCCGCCTATACTTCCTGCCTGGCTACTGGCCAATCAGCGTTTATTTAAAATATAATTGACAGAATATAGACATTTGTCCCACACCACATTCCCTTTCCATAGAGTCTGTTTCTAACCCCTACAGGGAGACCTACATCTTTAGGCAGTCTCAGTCTCTTTCAAATGCTTTATGTTTGTATAGCCCTCTGAGCAACCTGAAAAGGTTTTGTTTATTGTTCGCTTTCTGTTCCTCACACTAGACTCCATTCCCTGACACAGTCCCTGGGTCTCCTCATCACTTCCTTCCCCAATGCTTGTACCTCTGCTTGACACATGCTAGGAGCTGAGCAAGCTCCTGCCTCATGGAGAAAGCGGCCCAGCTCAGCCAGTGAGCAATCTGGGCATAGTGTGGAGGCAAAGCTCACCCCAAAGGTCCCACTCTTCCCAGACTATCAGCTGCCTCCACTGTTGAGGTTTAGGCCAGGAGGTTACAAAAGCGTGGCTCGGAATTAGAAACCTATAAATCTAGACTATATGAGAGGAAAATCAGCAAGGCCAGCAGAGAGGGACACACATCTGTTTCTGATTATTCCATATAAAATATAATCTATGTCATAACGTCTGGAGACATAGTTCACTTTGCCTAATCATTTCTTCTTAAATTTTGTATGGGAATTGATGGCTTTTTTTCCCCTTTCAGCAAAAATTCTGCTTTAAGAGCACCAGGGAATTTGTTGTTTAAACACAGCCCAAAGGAGATCCTTCGGCGCAGCAAACAATCTCGGCTCGGTTTCGATTTTTATGTTTGTAAGCCGAATTTTCTGCTCTGTGAAGTTCTTTTTAATAGTCTTCCCTAAATGAATCCAGTTTCACAGCTAGCTGTGCTTCTCGAATAGGCCTTCCTCTTGGCTTTTCCTGTGCAGTCACATAAACTGCTAAACACCGTGTA